CATCTTTCTCTTTGACACCATGTCTGAAATCCCACGTGATCTGTCAAATACTAATGCATGAAAATCCTAACCTCAAAAAAATCACCCGTTATTAGGGCTATTCGCGATTCGGTGCATAAGAGCTGACAAATTTATGCAATTGCAGAAATATGCCATGGATTGTGAGCGACCTTTATTAAACTGTCATGGTAAAACTTTTTTAATCAGTTGATAGAAATGTCAACCAGAGTTGCAATGCATAGCATTTATATGCTATGGATTTTCAGTATTGCAAATTTATCAAGCCATGACAAATGCAAATGCGTGTATTTTGTTTGTGTATTGCAAATAATTTGCAATACAAATTTGCAATGCAATGATGCTAGGCCATTTGCACCGGATCGCGAATAGCCCTATTATTTTATTATGCTTATTGTCGCCACTTCAGTACCTTGTTTCGGCAATTTTTCCGCAGAAAAATTTGAGGTGTGGTCCTTAAATATTTAATTAAAAAATAAATTAAATCTGATTTTTATTTTTAAGTACGGGAAATGTATCTTAAGAATTTCTTTTAATAAATAAAAATTGTCCAAGCCTTTATAATTCGGTTATTTAAGCGTGCGACATCATTTACTTTTCATTCCACTAAGTCTAAAGTTTCCGATTTTAAACCGCGAAATTTTTGCGATATACGATTATGAGAGTGCGCAATTATGCGATTTGAAAACTAAAACGCCTAATTTTTGCGAATTCGGAAACGGGAGCCCGGCTGAATAAATACATTTCACTGTGAGTTAATGTTTGGGAAAATTTTCCAATACGGAACCCGGCTTTAAAAAAAACAAAAATGAGGGAGTTTAGAGCGGCTTTTTGTGATTGTAAATCTGAAAACCCCACCCTCCGGAGGCTTATAGTTTTTATGAAAATTGAATTTTAAGTTGCAAAAAATATTAACTTCAACCTCACTTTTTGCTTTGTAAACCAATTGTACTAAAATGTCGGTGCTGCCACACAACAAAAAATGCCAAAAAAAAGCACTTATTTGTGCATACATTTTGTGTTACTGTCAGCCATTGTTATTTCTGCTTGTTTGTGAAATGTGCAAACGTTTGTGAAGACATGTATAAACGCGTTTTACTTAATTAATTAATTAATAATTGTATATTAAGGTATTACAAACGCATGCGAACCTTTTAAGGATAATATATTTGTGTAAATAAAAGTGATGGGTGTGGAGTTATAATAAAATGTGGTGATAGCAGGCGGGATATTTTAACAACAAATAACTTAAGTACTATTAGCAACAACATTGTGAAAGTGATAAATATAGTTAAAGGAGACCTCCATTAGTATCCCCACCGAGTTTCATAAAAAAATTCACTATTCCTTGCACGGAATAGCAATTGGTTCCGTAATGGAAATCTCAGCCTAATGTTTAAACATTTAAAGAAGCTCCGATTGTTTCATTTTCTTGTAGTGTATTTTTACTTGAAAGGAACTGTTGATATTTTTATTCGATGCATCGAAAATATCGATGTTTTTATACGATATATCGATATGAATCGATGCTATATTTCGATGCATCAAATGGAAAATAACATCGATGTATTTTTTTTACTTGCATCCCTAACTTTTTCCACCGGCATAATTGTCGAAGTCTTCAAATATTCCGGAAAAATACCACTGTTAAAGCTTTCATTAGCTATGCATGTATAAATGTAGCCCAAGTACCTCATACTGTCTTTCAAAACGCCTTCAGTTTACAGTTTTTCCCCCCATATTTATTTTTTAGTGTCGTTGCTATTCGCATAAATTCATGCAAGTTTATCGGCTTAAATTCAAAAGTTTTTCTATTCATTACCACTTTGTCTACATCTGGTGGAATATTTTCGATACTGTTACGAATTGCTATTATACTCTCAACAAAATACCGGTTTAGTTCAGTTGCAATTCCATAATCATCTTCGATGCAAATGTCATTTGAGGATATTATTTTTATTTGAGAGGTCTCATTGTTCATATTTATAGCATTCTTAAGACACTTCCACATTAATTTTTGGTTGCTACTATTGATTGCAATTTTATTTTCCATAAACTTTTTCTTTTTTATTTGAACCATCTTTTTGTAATAACGTTTTATGTTAATATAATTATTCTATACATTAGATCTCTTAGCCATTATGAAGAGCTCGTATTTCAACTTGTTTAATTCAGTTAGTTCGCGATCGTACCACTTATTGATTAATTTAATTTGAACTTGTTTTTCGTAGGTTAACGTTGACATTACATTGCCAAGGATATTGTTTAACATTTGGACTTTCAGTCCGATATCACAGTATTTCAGTTCCTCAAAATTGTAAGCCCTGAGGTGATTTATCAAGTTTTCTTTGGTATAGTTATCCCAACACAAGCGAGTTTCATACACTCTCATTTTGTACTTTTTATGAGTTCACAATTTGAAAGAAATCGTTTCGTGGTCGGATATTTTATGATTTTTTAAATTTACTGTTTCAATTTCATCGCTGTTGCTAAATAATAGGTCTATTTTCGTTTTACTTGATTCCGTTATTCTCGTATTGAAGTTAATTAATTGATACATTGACAAGGATGCAAATGTATTGGTTAGCTGGTTCAAATGTGTGGATTGTGTATTCAAGTTTATGTTAAAGTCACCAATAACGATGTTTTTGCCGCTTTCAGTAAAGCATTCTTCCATCACTTCACCAATATATCTCAGGAATTCAGCATAGCTTGTGTTAGGTGAGTGATATATTGCACCAATTTGCCATTTGATCGTGTCTTTATTGTATTTATCACAATACACCATAAATTATCACAGCGCACGGCAGTGCGCGCGAGTGACGAAAGCAGCCACAGTAGCATGCTGAAATGACTCGATTATACATATCGAGCCCTAACCGCCAAAATAACGTAAGCGACATTTTTTTCAAAATTTTCTTTTTGATGCAGAAATGTATCTAGATGCTCTAGGAAAATTTTGAAAAAAATATCGCTTACGTTATTTTGACGGTTAAGGCTCGATATATACACGAGATTTGGAAGTTTGCATCTAGACGTCCAATCGACATGTTTGAGGTATCGTTGGAAAGGTCTTGTAGAGTGTGTCCAGAAAATGTATTAAAGCTTCGTAAACGATTAACCGGATTCTTAAAAATTAGGCTAAAGTGTTCGCAAACCGTTTTTTTGCTTTTGCCGGTTTAAGGGGGTATGAGGGGGTAGTGTTATTCTATAGGACAATACCTTTCAAACGATACCTTATGTATTGAGTTCCGGCTAGTAGTTGGAAAGATATAGAGCTAAATGTGTTTTGGTTCGTGTCTGCACTACGAGATGCTTTGGTATGTATGTGGCGTCTGTACGTACCTTCATTTAATTTTTTTCAAACTTTCAGGAATTAAAGTACAAAAAAAAATAGGATGGTTTTATTCCGGGATGTTTCGATTCGTATGCCTTTGTGGGCGTGGCTGGTGCCTGAACTTCGAAAAAAGGCAGTTTTTTAAGTCCCTATTACGGTTTACAACTCAACTCAGTTGAATTGAAATTGAAACAACTCAACTTTAAAACAACTTAACTATTTTTTGGCATTACGAATTACAACTCACTTCAGTTGAAGTTGTATTGATGTTGCCAACCTAAAAAAGTGACGATTTGACAGATAATTAAACAGCTGATGATTTTGTGGCGAAAAATTAAAAAAATATACTTTACTTAAGGTTTACGAGAGAGTGTTTTTTTTTTCAAACAAAAAGTAAAATGGACATAAGCGTTGATTTATTTTACAACGATGAAAATGTTGGTCCCAAATCTGATGTGCTGCGCATACGGAAAAGGCTTCGTGATCACTCGAATCCTTTGGAACTTCCAAGCACCAAGTAAGAAAAATTGTAGCGACAATTGAATGGCATTTTAATAATGTTTTTTTGCAGATTCATAAGCTACTTTCGTTTAAATAAGGAAGCATTTGTCTTTTTGCTAAACGAGATGGATGAACATTTCCAGAAACGTGTGCGAGGAACGGCTGTACCTCCCATATTGAAATTATGTGCAACTCTCAGGTTCCTTGCTGACGGCAGTTATCAAAAGTGCAGTGGAAATGATTTTAATGTTGGACTGGCGCAACCTACAATATCTGTAGTTATTAAGGAGTTTTTAAATATAATTGAGCAGCATATTTGTGGAAAATGGATTACAACCCAAATGACTGAAGAGGAGCAAAACGCGTCAAAAATTGCATTCTATTCAAAAAGCGGATTCCCCGGAGTAGTGGGTTGTATCGATGGGACTCACGTTCGCATCATTTCACCAAAAAAAGAAATGCAACATCTTTATCTAAACAGGAAAGGCTACTACAGTTTAAACGTCATGATTGTAAGTAAAAATGTAAAAAGCAAATAATACTTTAAAAGAAAATGGTCATGACATCTATTTCGATTTCAAGCTTTGCGATTACAAAATGGCTATCCGGTATGTGGATGCTAGGCACGCGGGCGCAAATCACGATTCCTTTGTTTTTAACGTAAGCGATTTGAAAGAGCATCTGCAGAGAAACATACAGAGTAATTCCTGGATTTTAGGTAAGACTGGTCATTAGTATTTAATACAAAAATAGATTGTTTAAAATATTCCTTAAAGGCGACGCTGGTTACCCTCTACAAACTTTTTTAATGACTCCTTTCCGCATGGCAGAAGCTGGTTCACCACAAGCTCGCTACAATACAATACACTCTAAGGCTCGAAATATTGTAGAACGGACGATTGGAATATTGAAAACCCGATTTCGTTGTCTTTTACCTGTGCGTGGCTTACATTATTCACCAGCAAAATCTACACAAATTGTGAACGCTTGCTGCGCTTTGCATAATATTTGTCAACACTTTCGCGTGGAACTTTCTGAAGAAATTGCAACCGCTTCAAGTACGGAAATAAGCAATGAAAACCTGAACATTGAAACAGAAGACGAGGATGCCGCCAGAAGAATTCGCAATAATATTTTGTTATCCATTTAATAGAAATAAAAAACTCTAACTCAAATTTAATTATTTGTACTTCATTCAGTCTTCTTTTATTTTCAATGGTTAAATAACTTATATTTAATATTCATTAAATATCACTTCATGTGCTCGTAAAATTAGGTTTTTCAAAATAGTTAATTTAAAAAAGTATCACTTCATGTGCTCTTAAAATTAGGTTTTTCAAAATAGTTAATTTAAAAAAAATATCACTTCATGTGGTCTTAAAATTAGGGATTGCAAAACTTATTATAAAAAAAAATATTACTTCATGTTGTAAAATTAAATTAAAAAATATTTAAAATTATTAAATTAAAGCCCTTTCAATGTTTGTCAAATAAACATCAGCTCTCCATTCACGAGCTGTTCTCGTCTTGCAAATAGCCTCTTAATTTAGCTATTTTTAATTGCTCAACCTCTACCTTCAACAAATGTAGTTCATGGGCTTCCCTAGCCTGCCTTTCAAACAATTTATATTTTTGTTGCTTTATGTGCAGCAATTTTTTATTAATGTCGTAATTTTTGTACGCCGTCTTTTCAATTCTATCAATTTTTTTTAGTACCTCTTTTTGCGTTTCTGCCTGCATTTTATGAGCTCTAGACGCTCAGTTTCTAAATTGCAGCTTCTGCGGCGATTTTGTACACGCGATGCTGACGAAGAGGGCCGATCTTCAATGTTTGCTACCTGGGGCTCATCAACCATTGACGAAGCTGCAACTAAGCCGTCTTCTATTTCTTCGCCATCCATCACCGGTGGTATATTCTCTACCCCGAACGCCCGACCACTGGGTGCAACTTGTTCCCTTATCTGAATAAGTTCCGCAACACTTTCTTCTAGTGGATTTAAAGAAACCTCTTGCGACGGACCACCACCAGTTGCAAGAATATTGCTGCGATTGGGGGCAAGCTTCCTTTTTAAATTTGCCTTATAGTGTATCCAAACCTACAGGAGAAATAAATTATTGCGTTTTCATTGTATTGGTCTAATTCCATGATTACTACTTACTCGTCCCCACTCGTGCGCAGTTCTTGTTGGTGGTCCTAAACTGTTTAGCTCTATGGCAAATTGCTCCCACAATCCCTTGCTTTTACTTTTGCTGCTTCCAAATTGCGGCTTGCCTCGTCCAGTTTCGGGATGCTTCTCCATCAGCTCAACTAGTTTTTCAAACTGTTGTTTCGTTGTAAGTTTATTTTTTCTACAAATTTGTAAGAAATTCGTGATTAAGATATTGGTTTAAGACAAATTAAAAAAATTTAATTACCCGCTTTCCATTTTCGCTTAAAAATTTGTTCAAAACAACTGCTAGTAATGAGTTGTCGATTTTCGATACTTTTGTCAACCGAACTAGCACAGGGTGGTAAACGGTAATACCACAAAAAAGTTGTAAGACGATATAAATACAACCAAAAATTTTTTGACAGGTTGAGTGGTTATCGATAATACCAAATTGTAAGTTTTCAACTGAAATGGAGTTGAGTTGTAAACCGTAATAGGGGCAAAAAATTTTTTGACAGGTTGAGTTGTTATCGATAATACCAAATTGTAAGTTTTCAACTGAAATGGAGTTGAGTTGTAAACCGTAATAGGGGCATTAAACTAGCATTGAGGCCGCACTACTCATTCCATACCATTCATTACGATATCAGTAGAAGGGCCTTAAAACAAGCTATCTAACGCGGTCTTTTGCGTTCATGAAGTATAAATATGTCATAACGTTATCGCCTACAAACTTGCTCAAAAACTGGTCAGTCGATTTTATGCTAGGTCTCCACAAATCTAGTTCAAAACCTTAGCTTTCATCTGGTATATAGCTTATATCTGGGAAAGCTCTTGCTGTGGAGATATTGCGATTCAAATTGAAAAAATTTTGCCCCAAAAAGGGTCAAATGGTTAAAAATTAACATATCCGTCTAATTTGTTTACTTTAAGATATAAAAATAACATACCCAATGAGCCGCTACTACTTACATACATATCGTCGTTTAAAGTACAAAACCGCGTATCAACAAAATGCAAAACCGCGTATGTGAATTATGTAAATTATCTTCTAGAGAGTAAAAATACTCATATTTCAAAATGGTTCTCTTTTTTATAAAGCAATCGCATACCTGGCCAGTATATTTTACGACGAATGGATAAGGATTGAGCCAAGAGCTTGTGTGAGAAAACCCAATTTTTGGCAGCTAATGCCAGTTACACGGTTTTGCAGAAAGACGATACGCGGTTTTGTACTTTAAACGACGATATGTATAAATTGCCACTGAGCAAAACTACTTGAGAAAAAAACATTAGTTTAATAGCACTAGTGCAACATCGTACACGTAATAGAAGTGAAAATTTCTTAAAACAAGTAGGAGCAGCGCTGACTTCGGCTATGCCGAAGGCGTCATACCTTTCATAAGTATCTGAAAATTTTACTTTAACAGATTACTCGTTTGAAAAAATTTATATATTCACAACATACATATATAGAGGAGATAAATATATAAAAAAATCATATCTAAACAATCGGAGGTATGGGAGATATACCTTATATATGTAGCACCAATCAAAGGAATTTTTACTGATGTGTGATCAGTATGTAAACCGGTAACAAAATTTAATGGGTTTAGCTTCCTAAATAAAGGAGATATGTATATCGCAAAAACTGGTATCTGAACAATCAGTGATATAAGAGATAAAGCTTATACAGCATAGATTTTGACGATTTTCTCAGTGGACTTTGTATTATTATTTATAAAAAAGCTTACGAAATTTATCGGTTTTAGCTGTCCAAATAAAGGAGTTTTACAGTAAAGCCCCATATCTGAACAATTAGTTGTATGGAGGCAATAAATAGCTTATAGTGACCCGATATTAAAACAAGATTTGCCAGCAATGCTCCGCTAGCGAGAACTATGCGGGAATTTAATATTTTATCCAAATCTGTGGAAATCGACTTTTCATTGCCAAAACAAGCTTTTTTAAATCTTCTGCATACCATGTTTTAATATTATTCTCTATTATTATTAGCTTATTAACTTAATTAAACATTGGATAGTCTGTAAGAAATATTGTTTCATAGACTGAAATAAATAAATAAATATTTGTTAATTTTACTGTAAACTTTCTGTAAATAATGAGTAAAAATAATGCGATATTTCATGTTTCTAGCTGAATATATGGAGGAGTTATAACAAAAAATCGCATATCTGAACAATCGGTTGTATGGGAGCTATATGTAAAAGTGACCCGATCTTTGTTATTTTCACTGTAAGTATTCAGTTGTTAATGGGTGGAAGTATTGCAAAACTTCATGTTCCTAGCTGCATAAATGGAGGAGTTATAACGAAAATTCTCATAACTGAACAATCAGTTGTATGGGAGATATATGTTATAGTGACCCCATCTTTGTTTTTTTTCACTGTAAGTATTTTGTTAATAATGAGTGAGAACGGTGAGAATTTTCATGTTCCTAGCTGCATAAATGAAGAAGTTATGGCAAAAAATCTCATATCTGAACAATCTGTTGTATGGAAGTTATAGGTTATAGCAAACCGATCTTCGCCATTTTCACCGAAAGTATTCTTTTGATAATGAGTCACAACAGTGCAAAATGTTATGTTCCTAGCTACTGAAATGGAGGAGTTATAACGAAAACACTTATATCTGAACAATCAGTTGTATGGGAGCTATAGGTTATAGAGGCCCGATCTGTGAAACTTTCACTCTGCAGTACTGCAAAATTGCATGTTCATAGCTGCATAAATGGAGAAGTTATAACGCAAAATCTCATATCTGAACAATCAGTTGTATGGGAGCTACATATATGTTATAGTGGTCCGATTCTTCCGGTTCGGACAAATGATTAATACATTATAAAAATACACCCACCTACCAAATTTCATCCGGATATCTCGAAAAATGGGAAAGACTAGATTGCATACAAACAGACGGACAGACGGACATACAGACAGACGGACATGGCTAAATCGACTCAGCTCGCCGTTCTGATCATTTAAGTATACATTTTATTGGGTCTATCTCTTCTTATTCTGGTACTTACCGCAGAACTCCACAGGCGAACAGTGATGGCCTACCAACTGTCATTTTGACGAGCAATGTGATTGCAAGTTTTTGTGTGTGGGCACTTTGATGTCTTGAAATAAGCATTTGCCGGATGACGCCACCAGACAACATTCTCTCAATTTCGGTGTTTAAAAACATTTAAATCTTAAAAAAACTAGCTAAATAATTTCCTAAAACGTAATCATAAATTATCCAATACGGAACAGATTTTTATTTTGATTTAATATCCAAATTTCATCGATGTTACCACCAGCACGCTTTCTTTCAAATGAAAATATGGCTGTCAAACTATCGAATTGATTGCAATAGATGTCAAGCAATAAGCGCTGACATATATTGCAGCACATAAGAAATAGGCGGTCTCCATTGGAAATATATTTTGTGACATGGTTATCACGACATCAGTGTTTTCCTGTGGAGACAGCGCCTTACAAACATCGGACCAAAGTTATAATACCATTTCATGCTCATAAAAGGTATAAAAAGCAAATGTGTGCGCGCCACACCCGGTAGAAATCTTAAAAATTAACTACGAGACAATCAGACGAATACAGTTGTGTATTGTATCCATAGTTGGTACCAAGTTGATAAGTTTTTATCATTTCTCATAAAAACAAAAAGGATATGATCATTCTTTTTCGCTTTATTCCGTATTCGAAAAATAATATGTTTCAATGGACACATCGATTTGAATACATAATTTGGATTTAGATAATATTTTTAGCAATTTATTTGAAAAAAATAAAACATTTAGATTATTGTTTGTATTTTCGTCGATTTTAAATTTGCTACCCCAAAATAATTGATATCAAATAAAATCCCTCTTAGAGGTAAAATTTTCGAGTGACGAAAGCTGAACTAGAAACACAAAATTTATGATATCAATTTCGTGACGAAAATTACATATACGCATTTTTTAACAGCCTTGGAAACGTACGGAAAATCTTTTTTTATTTATTCGGAACGTTGCGAACTTCCGTCTACTGCTAGAAACACAAAATAAAAAACAGAACTTTTGCAACGATTCGTATGAATAAAAAATATTTTCCCTACGTTTCAAAGGCAGTCAAAAAATGCGTATAATTTTCGTCACAAAATTGATATCATAAGTTTTGTGTTTCTAGTTCAGCTTTCGTCTCTCGAAAATTTTACCTCAAAGAGGTGTTTTATTTGATTATCGATACTCCTATTATAGATTAGTTTGTAGTCAACCAGTTTATGAATATAGATAAGAACACCACCGGTATGACGGCTATATGAACCACACCTTATATGGTTGTAAATATCCAACGATTTTTAGTTCTGAGTCACTAACATCTTCCGTTGTATGTGTTACGGCACATAGTACAACATGTGGAATTTCTTTTTCAATCATTATTTCCACTTCATTCTTGTTAGCTGTGATACTTTTTGTATTAAGGTATATACACTTTAAGTAATTTTTTGGTTTTTTGTTTTGTTTACTGTTTACTTTCAACTTCTTTTCTTCATCATCATTTAATTGCTAATACCCGAGCCTCTGTTTTCTTATCTGCAATTTATTTACATAACATGGACATTATTGTCATAAGTATCTTGGTTTATACCTAATTCTAGATTCAGATTTTTGTTCGCTTTATGCAGTTTAAACATTTGTTGTTTGGATTTTCTTTACACATTTTCGCGTTATTATTTCCGTGGCACTTTTGGCAAACTTCCTCGTTTTTACATTCTGCATATTTATGGTTAAAACCTTTACATTTATAGAACATTAGTGCATTGATAGCATCAAACACTTTACATCGTTCCCAGCCGATATTTATTCTCTCTGCGGCAAGAATCTTGGTAAAGTCTTCTTTATCAACTTCAATAATTGCGTTATGCACCGTTGTATTGCCTCTTTTCCTTTCAAATTGTTTTACTACTTTTAAAGAGTTTTGGCTTATGTTTATATTTTGTGTCTTTATTAATCAAAAAATACATTCTGCTCATATTTAAATTCATGTCTGTTACTAAAAAGCTTGGACGGATCGAATCCGGTACTTTTATTTCATATTCTTTTCCAATATTGTTTTCAATCGCCGCTTTAATTTTATCACATTCATAAGTATTTTCACTATGTATTACCATTACACCATTATTTCTTGTTGCAATATTTGAAATTTTCAAGTCTTTCGGGTCCACTTTGGTGTTTAGATCTTGTTTTGTTTTTTTTTTCAACTGCCTGCATTGATTTGGGTTTCACAATTATTGCCATATCTTTTTTTAACTCTGGAATTGTTTTTTTTTTTGTTATTGGTTTTTATGGCATCTGGATAAGACATTTGTATTTCACTAGTGTTGTTGCTTATTTTTTTAATTTCA